ATAAAGTGATTAGCAGTTGACTGGATCATGGCTGGAAAGCCAGGGTTGAGTTCACCCCATCCTAGACCGAGTACCCCAGGCAGTCATAGTTCAGGGACATTTCATGGTGCTTTCTGGCATAGGACACGGCAACATAACGCACCGATGCCTCAAAACGGAATATGCTCTCTAAGATTCTATGCCGCCCTCCATTGTTTGAAAAGCTGGAAACAAACACGAGAAGGAAGCTGCAAAGGGAGGGTAAGGTAGGCAGACTAGATTTTTTTTTTTTCCTCTCGTTTTCTTGTGCAAAGGTTAGATAAACATCATATGGTTTGCATTTGAGTAAGTGTCTGGTTGAGATGGAGTGTAAAGTGAAACAGCAACACATCTGGAGGTGAAAGATAAGAACCGCCACCTCTCCCGGTCGGCCTCATGTGAAAGGCCGCCCTGTCCTCCTCTCAGTGCAGGACGGTGGGGTAACAGCAGTCTCCTCAGCCACGATGACACCGCTTCCTCTCTGGGACTCTCCCCTGATGAGATGACAGATGACCTGGCACCCCTGGAAGTTTATAGGCTAGTGATTTATGGATTCCTACTCCCCTTTCACTTAGTTCACACCTCCCCCATCATACGGATGAGGTTTCGGGACATGCACTCCACTAGGGACCTCTCATCTATCTATCCTCTTCTGGAGCAACAGCAGGTTAGGAAGTATTTCACCCCAAAGCCTCTTTTTGTGTCTGTTCTTTACTGTTGGGCACAACGAACAAATAAATGTGGGACAGGGGTATACGTAGGTCTATCACTTCTGCAAAAGTCTCTGGCTAGCACTGATTTCTGGGGGTGAAAGTGACATACGAGTTATTAAAAGTTCCTCAAACGACTACTTGTCATTCTTCTTCCTGCTAGGATGTGTTCTAAAAGGATTTAGAGATGTTCTGAAACCAAGCTAAGGGGGTGAGAGTGAATGTCCTGAGCCTGAGTGCCATATAACCGTCAGTGTGTTCTTTCTCCAAAATAGACCTCGATTTTGCAGGGTGTTCCAGAGGGTCTGCACTAGGCAGTCATCCTCTGAGGCCTGTCTAGCTCTGGCATTTTAGAATCTAAGAATATATTTTGAGCTGTGGAGGAAGGCTTGGATTCTATCCAGTAAGGAACAGGTATTAATAAGGAATGTTCCAGAAAGGAAGGAAGGTATCTAGATGTTCTTAAGCGGCTTCTGCTCCTCCCTTCTTTTGGCTCTGGTTTTTAGTTACACAGTACTTGGCACAGAGCAGAAAATTAACAAAAGTGTTTGAATTTGAATCTCACTTTGCACAACACATTAAATCTCTTTTCAAATGCCCAAAGTTCATCCTTCTGAGGGATTTACAGCTTCATTTAAGAGGACAAAAGTTCTGTTAATAAACTCAGAGGCGTGATACTTACCAATGAGAACTGGATTTTCTAAAGTTATTTATGAAATGTAAATATGCAAAGGCAAAGACTAATTCCAGTTGGTCTATTATAAATTTAAAAGTTTTTCTATCTTTTATATGTCTTTTCTCCTTAAAAATGAAAAGCCATGAAAAACTAACGTCTGCAAGAAATTTCTGCCAAGCTTTTCTCTCTTCCTTTCAAGAACACATGGTTACTTACTTACTTAAACAGCAGAGAAATAATGGACATTGAGTTTATAATGTGTAAATATGCCTTAATTTTATCCATCAGTTTTCTGAAAAGCTTCAGATATAGCGAGAAATATATATATATTCCTTGACATTCCTGAGATACATACTTATTATTAGGTATGGTGTTTGCTAATATTTTGCCAATTACCTTCATTTTTTGGAACTTCTTGCAAATGTGCATCTCAGGATGTAATAAAGAATTTTTAAAGCCACATAACTTAGTGGGCCAATACAATGAGTGCATTGTACCAATATATTTATGTATTGTATAAGGTCGTGGGTTCAAAGGGCTACTCTTTTATGTTGGCTTTATTTACATGTGAAATTTTTTCCAAGTGATACAGGGAAATGGATACCATATGTTTCCCAGCTGTTTTGGTCTGAAGGAGCCATTTAGAACGCTCTATGGAAATGAATTCTGTCTGAGTCTTACGAAAACACTTCTTTCCATAGAAGGATCTAGAAACTGAAGAAGGGGCATCAACATTAGGCTTGTTGTCCTTCCCCTTATTCAAATCGATGACTCTTTTCTAGGTTCAAAGTGAAATCTATGGTTTTGTCTTGAAATCTAGTCTCTGTCTTTATTGGGGAAAAAAAATCCCGGTTGTGAGAAATTTGATTATTTAATAGTTTTTCATGAGAAAGCTCTAATTTATTGCTATATCATATACTTGCCTGAAAAGAAAGGTAATTTTATGTATGTGCAAAAGACACAATACAACTAGTTTATTTCTTGTAAGCTGGGCAAAGAGGTATTTTAAACACGAGAAAAAGGGTTATTAATAACTGGCAAGATTTTCACTTCTAAATTTATAAGTCTACCAAAAATTTCACTTAAACTGTTATATCCCAACCATAATAAATTTTTTATAATACATGGAAACAAATTCAGACTAACTATAATTACTCAGAAGATATTGCGGCTAAATTTGTATTCTGGAAATCACAAATAAATACTTCACATGTTAACAAATTTTAAATCTCTGAAAATTTTATCTGTTATCTTATTAGATCTTTACAAGCTCTGCGAGAACAGGGTATGTGTCTAATTTATCTCTCTGTCCCACAAAGTACCCAGCAAACTGCCTTACATAGTAGGTTCTTAATGACTTTTAGTTGAATGGATTCATTTTTAACATCTTACGAATGTAAACATACCTAACATACTTGTCTGCCTGATTATGTCACGAATTTTCTAAAATGATCAGTGGGTAAATGAAAATGTATTTGAGGCTGATTTATAGGTCACAATGATCTCTTCTGATCTAACTGGCATTTGGAATGTCTCTGATCACCAGTAAGGTATTTCCAATTGCCTGCTGACCATCCATACTTCGCCATTTATTCAACACTTAATGTGAGCCTAGGATGTATGAGTATTTGTAGCAGGCAGCATGTTCTGATCCAGGGGTCTTATCTCTCACTACCCTTGCCTGCTTCATCTCCATCCGACTCCTCATTCCTCCTACTCCTCCCCTTCTCCCCCTCCCCTTCCCCCTTCTTCATCCGCCCCCCCCCCCCTCCTGTCTTCCCTAAATTTATTTCTCATTTTCAGTAAACCTGGCCTGGATCACATAACCACTTACACAGTCTCCCAAGCAATCTATCTCCCAGGCATGGCTGACTCTTCCCTTTCTTTGACCCCTGTCCCTCATCCCTCAGAAACCAAGTCCTGCTGTGGCCTGATCCTCTCAAATATCTTTTCTTCATCCTATTACACTGACTGGACCACATCGGGACCCTCCCATAGCTTCTGCAAGGTTCTACCTACTCCTTGGTCTTCCTTTCCTGTCCTGAGTTACGCCCTCTTCAGATAAATCTGATTTGTTACTTCTTAGCTCAAAAATCTAGGTAGCCCTGTACTGCCTTAAACAGTATTTCCCATTCGGTGGGATGCATAACCACACAGTATTTAAGATGGTACAGGAACCACGCTAAATACCCCGGACTGAGATAGTGAGGAAGTTATAGACTTTTCATCTCTTTCTTCTTTCTAATTAATTTAAGGAGTCTCGAGCTGGTGTTACACTGAATTTAACTCCTCTCTAAAACTTATTATCTTCCTTTAGAATAATGAGACCACAGGCCATAGGCTCAGAGATTTTCATAGGTAAAGGGTCAACAGGAATATTCTGTTTTCACATCATTCATTTTAATGATGACCTTGAAATTATTGCAAGAAACACTGATTTTCTATTTACAAAACACTGATGTAAAGTTTCTTTCGACAACAAGTGTTTAAAAGTAAGTTACTTTAGAAAACTATATTAAATGAATAATAGTACAAGTGGTATACAGGTAAAGCAAAAATAGAAGTGGTTGTTGGATATATATACACGTTATGGAAATAATACTTGAATTACTAAGGTTTGGAAAATCCTGGCTTTCAGGATAGTAGCTAAATTCTTTAAAATGGTATATAGCACTTCTTTTATTAATTTTCTAATTTATCTTTTCATCTCAGCACTCATCATCCCCACATCACTAATTTTTCCCTGCACTTCCATCATTAAACTCACCCTTTTTAGATACTCTATGTTCTTTCCTCATTCTCCCATCTTT